TGACCTCAATAATTGAAATATTGGAAGTCTCTTAGCAGAGCACAAATAAATATTTTGCCACAAGAGCTACAGATTCCTGCAGCCTGTGACAATAACCTAACGAATGATCATTTTCACTAATTGTTTATGTAATTAATGTCCTGTGTGTTTATATCTTCTTCTTGTTTTATGTTGACACTCTAGAAAGGAAATGCAACAGTGATTCCCATCTACTTTATAACTTTTGTATGGTGATAAAATTAATATACAATCACTAAAGAAAATTTGAAAGACAAAAATTTTAATTTAAAATCTCAAAGCTGAGATATTTCCTTTTGGGTGGCTTCCTATATCCCTTTATGAAGTCTTAGGAACTCAGAAACTTGAATGATGCTTTGTAATTGCACACTGCATGGACTAGACTGTAAGCTGATAATGATGCCCCTTTGTGTTTGAGAAGACAGCGACACTGGCTACGGGAGGAAAGTGAGCGAATGGGTCTTCGAAAGCACCCATGAAGGACCCCTTTTCCTGCATCGTGTGTGGACGGAAACACCTTCCTTTATACCCATGCAGAAAACAAAGCTGTGCACGGCTGTAAACCCATACTTCAGACTTCGTCTTGGTTTCAGAGACCCTGTGCCATCTCCAGCACCATCTAATTAATCATCTTAAAAGTGAAAGGCGTCAAGCCAAATTGCTTTTATTGTTGGGTTCTACCAAACATTGAAAGAAAGAGAAGACAGCAGTTCCCCATGATTTCTTCCGTAAAACAGATGCAGAGAGAACATATGCTAACTCACCCGACAAAGCTAACGTCATCCTATTACTGAGCGGATGGAGACATTGTATGAAAAGCTTTAAGGCCAACACTTCTTATGAACGTTGACTTTAAATATAACTCTCTTGGCTGGAGTGATGCTCTGTGGTTAAGGGCACTTGCTGCTCTTATGGAGGACCTGGGTTCAGTTCCCAAACCCTTACATGCCACCTCACAACTGCCTATAACTCTAGTTCCAGGGGATCTGATGCCCTTTTCTGATCACCTCAGGCTCCTGCATACACATTGCACACACACATACACTGGGGAATAAAATAAATGAATAATTTTTAAAGTCCTCAAAATACTAACAAACTGAATCCAATAATATATGAACCAATTATATACCATGACTAGTAGCATTTATTCCAGGTATACACGGCTAATTCAGCACTTGAATATCAACATAATCTTCCAGATCAGTAGGCAAAAAGAAGAAAAATCTTACATTCATATCCACATATAAAGAGAAAACTATGTGAGGAAACACCCTTTCACAATTACAAAAACAAACAAGAACAAAGCAAGCAAAGCTTCGTCAAGCCAAAACTGGAGAGGAGCTGCCTTGACTAGACAAAGAACTTCTTCCAACCAGCAGCCAACAAGATGGCTGAGAGCATGAAGTCGACGGCAAACCTGGATTTGATCTCCTGGGACCCACATGGTAGGAGAGAACCAACTGTTGCAAGTTGTCCTCCGACCTCCACACATGCACCGTGGCGGGCATACCACCCACCCACCCCTGAGCACAGTAAAAATAATAAAATATGGCAAAATTCCTTTTAAAAATGGCACATACCAAATCCCTACAGCAAATATATACTTAAAGGTAACAAGCTAAATATCTGCTCTTTAAGATTAGGAGCAGGTACTGCAAGTCCTAGCTAGTACTAAGACAAGAAAATAATGAGAGAGAGAGAGAGAGAGAGAGAGAGAGAGAGAGAGAGAGAGAGAGAGAAGGAAGAAAAACTAAACTGCCCTTTTAAAATGACATGACTTTCTACATAGGAAAATTTCAAAGGATTGACATTCACACACACGCATGTGCACACTCACACACACACAAATTTCCAAGAACTAAAAAAGAAATGTAGCAAATTCTCAGGACACACTATTCATACACAAAGTCAGCCACGTCTCTACCAGCAATTGGAATTTTTAATCTAGAAAAAAAACATGTAAAAATAAAGCCATACAAGTATAGGTAACTGATCTTTGACAAGGATCTTTAAAAGGCCCTTAGGTTAGTCTTCTCGGGCTATCATAACAAGATCCACAGTTAGGCAGCTTAAACAGTGAGGGGTCATTCACAGATCTAAAGGCTGTGGGTTTGAGATAAGGGTGCCTATGTGGCTGGATTCTGTTACATGAATAAAAGATGAGCTACAGATGGAGTTAAAATATTTGTAGAACACATACCTGGTCGAGAATTTCTATACAAAATATCCAAAGAACTCTAAAAACTCAACAATAAAGGCGAGCTTGGTGCACACCTTTAGTCACAGCATGTGGGAGGTAGTGGAAGGCAGATCTCTCTGTGGATTTCAGGTCCAGCCTGGTCTACATAGCAAGTCCCAGGATAACCAGGGCTACATGGAGAGATCTATTCCCCCCCCCCCAAAAAAAACAAAAAAAACCAAGAAAACAACAAAGCTCAACAATAAAAAAGTATGATTAATAAGTTGATTTCTCCATAAATAAAACATACAAAATGGAAATAAAAAAATATAAGAAGATATTCAATGTCATTTGTTGTTAACAAATTATAAATTAAAAAGAGGGACATAACTTGTCTTACAAGATGGTTGAAATAAAAAAATGTTACTATCGTCTGCGTGGCAAGGATGTGAAACGAGGAATTCCTACCGCTAACAGGAACGTAAAACAGCACAGCCACTGTGGCATCTTCTCTCAAAGCCTGAACAACCTTACCTTATAGTCCAGCAACTGTGTCCTTGGCCAGTCATTCAAATCAACTGAAAATTTAGGTCCACACAGTTGCTGGCATTTAATTATGTATTGTAGTGTATACATAATCACCCAACCCTGGAAGCAACAAGATATCCTGTAAGTAAAGGAATAAGCTAATTACGTGCATTCATATAAGGGGAAATTATTTAGCAATAAGAAGAAATGAACAGTAAGTTGCGTAAGACACAAACAGATCTTTAATATGCCTTGCTAACTGAAACAAATCCATCTGAATACAATGATTCCTGCTATATACCCTCTCGGAAGACACAAACCACAGCAGCACAAAAGGATTAGTGATTGGGATGGAGAGTGACTAGGTGAAGTCCTGGGTATTTGGTGGGACAGTGGAACCGTTCTGTGTGGCATTTCTGTTATGGTTACGCGATAGCATGCCTCTGTAATCACCTACAGCACTGCATGGCACCACAGAAAAGATGCAAACGAGCATACTGATGTATGCAAACCAAGAAAGCATGTAAGGGGTGGGGAGTTCCCAATGGGAAGCAGAATCATTAAAATTGTATTTATATTACAGTGTCTGAAACAACTTTACAGGGGGAGGGAAGGAGGGAGGGACAGAGGGAGAGGGAGGGAGGGACAGAACTGCTGACCTAGGAAACTTTAGAAATGAGGAAAAGCCCTCAGGTTAGAAGCAGAAGCAACTATTAAACATTGTGACTAGTGGTGGCCTGGGTTCCGATGTTGCCGGAGTGAAAAGTTGGGTGAGCAGATGGTGGGAACCAGCGAGTTTACAGATCCACACAGCAGTGGATTAGACTTGAAGGTATTGCTGTGAATCCACATTTGATTATGGAAATGCAGATGGTTACATGTGGAGACGCTCACAGATGTTTGAGTTCATATAATAAGTATTGTATGTGCACATACACATACACGTATATTTCTGTGCTTTAGTGACTGACGGATTAGAAGGAGCAGTACCCCAGTAGTGAGTAGGTCCAGGGTGTCAGGGGGCACCCAGAAGCCGACTGAAAAGTTCCCAATGGCCAAACAAGGAGCAGTTTGAGCAAGAAAATCAAGTGCTCTTAGGTTGTAACCTAGAGTGTGACATAAATATCCTTGAGGCTCTCCTCATGTAAGCAAGTCACTGAACAAATACATATGTGGGAGAAAAGACACATCTCCCCCACATAAGAATTTAAAAACGTTTATTCAGACATTCTGCCTTCAGGGAGGTAACCCAACACTCATTGCTCCCTAAACATAGACTGCATGGAGCAGCTTCCTTCCAGAGAGACACTATGGAAAAGTGGGCGGAGGAGATCAGGGAGGAAGCTTTGCAGGGAGCGCTGGACACACACTGCCTCAGCCAGGCGGTCCAGGCCACTGTCAGCAGGCTAGGTCCCTGCCCAGAGGGTGCCGTTGTGTAAAGTGGTGAGTCGTCACCTCCTTCTTCTCCGCCCTCCTGCAAACTGTAAAGGTGACCTCTCAGGAGGAAAGGATGTCAATCAGATCCAGAGTTAGGGGACCTTCTCCAAAGAAAACATAAAAGCTGACTGGCACTCCTTAAAGCTGTTCAGGTTGTCCACGTAAGTGAAATTTAAAAGAAATGTTACAGTCGAGAGACGCCTTAGGGAGATAGGGTGAGAAATGGATAATGTCCTAATCTGGCCTTGATTCTTCTTGTCCTGCTAGTTCATCATTGACAATGTAGCAATGTATGATACTGAATGTACCATAATAGTTACTGTGTCAGTAACTGAGGGAACTGGCAGGGTGCATGGGAACACTGTACTGGCTTAAAATTTTTATGTAAGTCCAAAACTGTCCTTAAAACAAGATTTTTAAAAATGTGTTCCCTAGACTTTTTCATTCCCACCCTGTGACAAGACTTAATTTCAAGAGACTATTCATGTGAAATTCGGGGTGAACAGTCTCCCTGTGATCCTCTGCACCCCACAATTACAGAACCTACATCATTGCTGTGACCAGAATGATGGTTGGGCTGAATCTGAGGTTCCCTTTTCAGAGGAATATGTGAAGGTTTGCATATATAATACCCTCCATGGGGTCATGTATTCAAACACTGGGTCAATGGCTGGTGGTACTGTTTGAAGATATTGGGGAACCTTTGAAAGGTCAGATCTGTCTGGAGGAGGTAGGTCACCGAGGGGTAAGCCCTGTGATTCATAGCCCATCTCCATTTCCGGTCCCACCTGTTCCCTGATCCTCCCTGAGGGAAGCAAGCCTCCTCATGGACAATAAACCTTTCTCCATTAAGTTGTATTATGTCCGGTGTTTGGTCACATCAATGGCAAAGTAACGAATACAGCACACACGACACTAATCTCTTCATCCAGCTACACAGAAGAAGACAGAGTCCAGCTAGGGACATGTGACAGGCTACTCCTGACTCATGCTGTGTATGCCTTTACTCTGCAATGACCTCAGCCATAGCCAGGAACCTCAGCATGGCATCCATGGATGTCCTGGGGCTTCAGCGCCCAGCACCAGCACTGAGAATAATGTGTGTGGACGTGGGCTGAGAGGAGATGTCAGTGACTTTCCAGAGAACTGAGAGAGAAGGTTCCAATGACCAAAGAGTTGCTTCACACTCAGACTGCTTGAACAAGAACCTAAAGGACAAAAACATTTTGTTGATTCCTCTGAAAATGTGGGCACTTAAACTGAGCTATGTAAATGAGATATTTAATCCCCATAAATTGTGAGGCCTTCTTTTAGCGTTGGTCCATAAATTATGTCCCACCAGAGCTTTAGATTGTAAAGTTGCCCCCATTCCAGACCAAATTAATGGTCTTTTACTTTGTGTTTTTATAAATTATAAACCCTAGAGTGTCAAATTATATGTAATGAAAACCATATATAAGAAATTTGTATTTTAAAGGACTTAATAAATTTCTTATTTTACTGATGTTTCTCAGTCTTATCTTAATGGAAGAGAAGAAAAATTAACATTTCATGCTTTCTCTTTTGGTTGCAATTCCGGGAGAGCATGAATTGTCAGGAAAAATGCTTTTCTTGGGCCAATTTTGTGAATAGAGGAGGGCCAGCTGCAGAGATAAGGCTCGTGTCGACCCAGACCTCTGCGGTTGTGTTTGCTCTTGGATCTTATCTGTCCACAGCAGCAACTGCAGCTTCATGACAAATGAGGTTCAAAGAGCTGCAGCCTGTGTTTGGGCCTCTCACAGGAATGTTTTCCAAGAGCACCACAGATTTCGTCATTATGTCCATCCCTGCTCAAACTCTTTGAACGCTTATCATTTGCCACCATTTCCTCCTGCCTGGCCCCAGCGCGAGCATCATTTGTAATCGTTAGGAGAATGGAATGTGGTGTGTTAATGTGTGTAATACTTACATTTCGAAGACATCCTAGAGGCCTGGAGACATATCTCAGCTGTATAGTGTTGGCCTCAAATAACTTCAGTCCCCAGTACTGCCAAAATAAATAAGTAAATAAATAAAAGATTGGAAACACCCCTGAAGGCCACCCTTTAAAGTGACCTCAGATTGGAATATTTTGCAATTATTTGCAGTCGGTTACCTTACCTCCATTTACAGTTTATGAGCAGCACAGCTTTTACAGTGTAGATAAATTAAACCAATGCCATTTGGGACGTAGAGATGACAGTTAGGGATTGTTTCTCTCTCTTTTGTGTGGGAAGATGGTACTGACTACGGGAAGAAGCAGGGGGAGCTGATAAAGACAGACGCTTTTAGGGTGTTCAGATTTCCCTAGAGTGAGATGGGATTCATAGACCAACTGTGGTTTTCTGCAACAAACCCATTGTTCACATCCTCAGAAAAAAATGACTGGACTCAATGGTCAGCAGAGCTGAGGGAGGGACGTATTAGCACTGGGGAGAGGACCAGAGACAGGCATGATGGAAGAGATGGAACTTAAAATTCTTAGAAAGCAAGACTATTGAGCCCACTGGCTTCTCTGAATGGGGCTCCCGGCCATGGCCTGGCCCGGCTTCTCTCCTGATCCCCCCCCATCAGGCAGACTCATCCAGTCTTGCTGGGAGGTGGCTTTCCTTGGCCCCAGGCAGCTCCTGGCTGCATGCTGTGCTCCACACAGCTATCCAGCCCAGACAGCTCAGCTTTGGGGGAGCTGCAAATCCTCTCAAGGAGCCAGGAGTGTCCCATCACTAAAATCAGATTTTTCCCCTCCAGTTTAGTAATTTGCTCATTTCATAGCTAGTGGGTTTCATCCACAAAGATTGTATTATTAAAAAATAAAATCCAGTGTGATCTTTCATGGTGTTCCATGCAGGACTGCACTACCCACTGAAAGCTTTTCAAGAACTTGGTTAGGAAACACTGGCTGTCCTGCCTTCTCCAGAGCCGACCCCAGGATTCTGAACTCCTCTGCAGAAACTGGAGACACTTGTTTATAAAAATAAATTTGAAAAATTGTTATCTGCATAAGCATTTCCATGCAGATAATCAAACTAATCAAATAGCATTTACAAAAGGAAAACAAAAAAATCAGTTACATAAAGACCACAACAATACAAGTGATATTTTTAGAGTAAAAGATTAAAATACATATTCATATATATGAGGGAGAGAGGAGGGTGGCTGTGCTCACCACTAAACCACCAATGTCACACCAAATACACATATATAGTGTGTATTTGTGTGTGTGTGTGTGTGTGTGTGTGTATGCATGTATCTATATATATGCAACTATGTCCCAACATGAGCAAAGTCAAAACTCAGAAAGTATAAATATAAACATAAGTTAATCTATGAGGTTATTTTGTTTATTATAATACCATTTTGTGGTAGAAATATATTAATAGTTCCTATGGTAAGATTTAGATTGAGTTTGGTTCCTTCATAATGAAGTTCACATATCATCTTATAAAATTACCCATAAATTTTTAATTATTTTGATTTTAATTTCACTTAATATTGTTTTGTGATTATTTCAATTATTGGGTTATTGATGATTTCAATTTAAGTTATTTAATTAAATATTTTAATTAATTCACAGTATTTTAAATTACTGTTCTTAATTAACAAAGCAGGACTGGGGAGATGTCTTGGTGAAGGACTTGCCGCTCAAACATATGGACAAGAAAGAGTTCAGATCCCCAGCGCCTAATGTAAAAAACCAGACAGGTGGTACACACCCGTAATCTCTGCTCTGGGGAGGCAGAGACAGCCCCCACATTGACCTCTGACCTCCACTTGTGTGTACAGACACATGCCTGTGCCTGTGTGCATGGACATGAGTACACACATAACACACACACAGAGGAAAATGACGGGATAGGCAGGGAGCACCCAACCTACTGCGTGTTTGATCACTGATTGGGGGAGGGGCAAAAGAGAAGAGGGAAAGGAGGGGCCGGGAGAGAGAGAAGAAGGGAAGGATGGAGGAGAGAAGGAAGGAAATAAAGGAGAAAAGAAGGAAAAAGAAAGCATATATACAGACATTTTAATGCTGTAACTAGCTTAAAGAAAAGTAAACAAAATAAACACTTCTGTTCTTAGTGCAGCGAGGAAGTAATCAAAACTTGGAAGCCCCGTGTACCTTCCCTAAAGCATGTCCTTCCCACATTTCCCTACAACTGTTCTTCTGAATTTTATGTCAGCCTGTCCTTATTTTTCATTATAACTGATGACCTATGTATTGCCCCCAAATAATATTTAGTGTCACTGAGCTTAATGTACCTAGAGTCATGATTGTGTGACTTCCTTCTTTGCACAGCTGTGTTTTGCCCTGTATTCTTGTGTGTGGATGCATCCCGCTCACCCATTCTCCTGCTGATTTAGATTGGTGTGGTCACTAGGTTTTTGCTGATGTAACTGATCCACAGTCAATACAGTCTTCACTTGTCACTTAAGCCACGTGTGTAGGAGATTCTCAGATCGACTCCTAGGAGCAGAGCTGGGTTGTAGGATTTTCAGATATATTAAATTAGGCTAAAACATATTCTTTTTTCCCCCTTTTATTTTATTTTACAATACCATTCAGTTCTACATATCAGCCACAAATTCCCTTGTGCTCCCCCTTCCTGCCCCCCTCCCCTTCCCCCCAGCACACCCCCCATTCCTACCTCCTTCAGGGCAAAGCCTCCCCCGAGGACTGAGATCGACCTGGTAGACTCAGTCCAGGCAGGTGTGGTAGACTCAGTCCAGGCAGGTCCAGTCCCCTCCTCCCAGACTGAGCCAAGTGTCCCTGTATAAGCTCCAGGTTTCAAACAGCCAACTCATGCAATGAGCACAGGACCCAGTCCCACTGCCTGGATGCCTCCCAAACAGATCAAGCCAATCAACTGTCTCACCTATTCAGAGGGCCTGATCCAGCTGGGGGCCCCTCAGCC